CAAACAGAACTGCAACAGAAAAAATGAAAGCACTTTAGTCCCTACAGACTATTAAATTTCAATGACAAAAAACATTCAACATTTAATTTCTACAGAGTACAGAACATGGCAGTTATGGAAAGCCTTTGCAGTCTGAACCTCAGCAACAACAGTTATGTTCAGTTTACCAGCACAAGCTAAAAGCCACAGCTTCTAACAAAAAAACCCACGCTTTTCTGGTTCAGCAAACTTAATACTGGATAATAGGCTTTAAAAATAAAAATAAGCGAAGAAATCAATAACTAACATTCTTGCCAATTATGTAAGAAGTAGGCTATAAGAATAATCCATGGTTTTGAACTACAGATACTGATGAAGCCCTACTAAAATGGACTGGAAACACATCAGGAGTTTTCTAGCCACCTCCTTCCATGACTAAACTTTGGTTTATGTCCAATATTAACACTGGTTTAACGATAAGCAGAACTATTTAATTTTTACACAATATCAAGAACAGCAACACGCCAGCATGGCATCTTCTGGGGGAGAGATTCCAGTTAGTTTTGTGCAGAAGCAAAGATCTCTCTCCCCTTCCAAACCTTTCCTAAAAGGCCTCTTTTGTTTCATTCTAATAAACAGCTTGTTACATAAGTAGCAGACAACTCATGGAGGTTTTATTTCTGTTTGCACCAGTAAGCTCCATCCTGAGGCTAAGACCCTAGCAATACAGGTTGATTTTGTACAGATGTTATTCACAGTTTCTGTAATCAAACCTCCACTAAGCTAGAAGAAAGTGAAGCAGCATGGTGACTATTGTCCACTTGACAACTATGAAAATACTCTGCTCTGGTGTACCAAAGACATACTGCAGGAGCCCTAAGAGTCATACTTACCAAGGCCAAGATATCAAAGGCCTAATGTATCCAGCCAATTGCACTGAACTTAGAGAGAAATGTCAGATGCCATGGAAAAAAAACCCTCTACGTGTGACAGCACCTAGCCCACACAAGTAGGGTGGATTAACAATATGCATAAATTTAAAACATGAAAGCAGTTTGTCAGACCAAAGCCCTAGCTATAAGCCACAAGCGAAGCCTTCTCCCCAGCAAGGCTTTCTCTTCCCACTGACTTGAACGGAAACAATTCCAAACACACTACTTATGTGCATCCTGTCTGCACAGAAGCATCTTCAACAGCCAAATAAAGCAACCACAAATTGATTCATTTGCAATAAAAATGCCACTGAACATTAAGAGCTACAGAACTAAGACTGACAGCTTCCCAGAAATAAACAATCCTTACTCTCTTTAACCACATAACATTTATCGTGAAATTTACTAAGCATGTGATGTATTTCAAGGCAGAGCAGTAAATCTAACTAAAGATAAGTTCCTATTTCCTATGTCAGCAAGAGTTGTGGTCACTAGTTTCTAAAACAAAATATTAGGTGTTGAGGCAGCATCTTTGGCAGAGAGATGTAGCAGCTTCTCCACAAAAAAAATCTGAACTCTTAACAGATTCTGCAGAGAACAGCTGCTAAATATTTATATCTGACATTCTACATTAAGCACTTTTCTAAGCTACTATAGTTATAAAAGAATATTTCTTTTATAGCCATTTCTTTTAAAGCCATTGACTTCCATTAGGTGCCTGTTTCTTATTCAGCAAGTTAATACACAACACAGATTTCATGTTCTATTTAAAAAGCAAAAAAAAAAAAATTATCTTACAAATATTTGTCTATTCATTATGCTAGGCCCTCACCAAGAAAAATCTAATTACATGGACACAATTGTCAGTGTGTTACTTTTTAAGTCACTCCACCAAACCACTTTAAATACATATTCTTATAATGAAAATTTCAAAAGATTACTGTTGACAGTAAAAAGCCAAGCCAATTTAGTTATGGAATGCAGTGAAAGATCAGATATGAGGGTGTTTCTAAGGCTCTAAGTAAATATTTAAAGATCAAGTGCATGTTTAAGTTACGGAAATTTGTTTTCTTCTAAAAACACCTGATGTCAGAAAGAGATTATATCATGAACATCTATCCTAAATAAAATACACACATTACTACACAGGAAGCCTGGTCTCCTAAATCTCAAGGGTAGTACACTTTTCATAGCAGTTCTCAAAAGTCTTACTTTGTCCTTATATCTGCATATTGTCCCTCCTACCTAAAACATTCCTGCAAGACTTACTTACAAGTCCTGCAAGACAACACTTACAAGAACTTAGAATCACTGTCCTTCCCAAACAAATCTATCTCCACCCATACAGAATGATTTTATTCTCTTGGAGCATCAGAGAAGCCATAATAACCTTGCTAGTCCTGCCCTTCCTCCTGCAACAGGTCAGAGAGAGTAGCTGAGCAGCTGGAATAGGCATTTTCACATCAGTTCAGCTCATTAAGGTCTCTGCTGCTATGGAGTCCTCATGTAACAGTAGCCATAACTAGAATACAAGGTAAGGGCATGAGAAAATAAGAAACAAAAAGCAGTACCCCCAGAACACTCTCCCTAGCCTCTGGCCTCTCATTAGGGCATTCTCCAGGAAAGTCTTCATATTTAACACCACTCAGGTGACTTCCTGGCAGCTTTCTACTCTGCTTGAAATCCATGTAAGCTTGCTGGCATAGCCATTCCATGGAATTCCAGAGTTTTCCACTACACACTGCTAAGAAACACCTCCTTAACCTGCCACCTTTGATTCCTCCCCATCAGGCTGGAGGAGAAAGTGATCTTTATTCACTCTGTTCACATTTCTCATGGGTTATAGATCTCTGGCGTATCTCTCGCTACTCCCAGTGACACTTCTCTCACATTACTGACATGGTTTAGTGGTGGACTTGACACAGGCCTGGGTAAGTTGGCCTTGATGATCATAAAGGTCTTTTCCAACCTAGGTGAATCTATGGTTCCCCATTCTACAATATTTTTGTGTACCAGAAACTGCTCTAATTCTGTAACACTGACCGCTCCCCTCAAAACTTTTTCACTATGTTGGGTTTCTTCTGGTTTTATGATGGCTTTCTAACATGAGCCATCCACAGTTTGGATGCTGCCACTTACAGCACTACAAGGTTGGTCCTTCCTCTCCTTTCCATGCACTTCCCCCCCCCATTAAATTCAAGACGCATAGAGCCAGATAACATAATCTGCATTAACTCCTTGAAGTAATAAGAAAGAATAGCAAACGTATACATTTATAAACATTAAAAACGCTAAGTTAAATACTTAACAGCTATATAAAATGGAAAGACAAGTCACACGAGATCCAAAGACACTATCACTACATGGGCATTTGAAGTGTTTCAGGCACTACACGTACGTGAAGTAAAAAGAAACTGCCATGCGCTAAATCCTTCAGCAAACCATTATCCCCTTCACAGGTCAGTCGCTTGTATAGGCACGACCCAGCCCAAAGCCCCGCAGCCTGCGGAGAGGGGCGAGGGCAGGAGCGCTAAGGTGAGCCCAGCTCAGGGTGGCCAGTGCCGCAAGCATGGCCCCCTCTCCCGCGGCTGTGCCACCCACCGTCCATGGTCTCCCGCACCGCGTTGAGACTGGCGGCGTTGCTCGCCATGACGGCCCTCTCCTCCCACCCGGAAGCGGAAGGAGCACCCTTCGCGCTGCCCGCCCCGTTTCCCGCTCCCTCCCTCCCGGTCATCGACATCGTTCAAACAATCCCGCTCCACGTGACGCTCCAAACGGAACTCGCCCACCCAGCAGCAGAAAGCAAAAGGGCGGGATTTCGGATTTGTGCAGCGGCTCCCCTGGCGATTGGTCCGTTCGAGAGCGGGGGAGCCCTGCTATTGGTGAGACAGAGGAGACCGCGCGTGTTGATTGGACAGAGGGCAGGGAGGGGGTGGGGCTAGTTAAAGAGCCGTCTGACGCGGTGAGGGCTAGCGCAGTGATCTGAGGCAAGTATGAGTAGCTGGGTAACGGCAGCAGGTACCTGTTCTGGGGAGCTTAGCACCGCACTAGCTGCGGGCGTGTGGGAGAGTGGCTGGGGGAGAGGCTCGGTGACACTGCCCTGGGGGGAGGGAGGAGAAGGAGCAGTTCTCCGGGCGGGCTGAGAGGGTGTTCTGGTCCCTTTGCCACCTCAGGTAAGGGAGCTGCTGGGGCATAGCTTGACGGGAGGGCTGTAGGGATGGGGTGTGGGGGCCGCAGCAGTAGACCCTCCCGTCCTTTTTCCTTCCCCCGCGGGAGGGAGCGGTGGAGCCTCCCGCAGCCCCTAGGGAGTTGGCCCTTGGGGCTAGAGGGTGCGCTGGTGGTTTTTAGCGCCGGCTTTAGGCCGGTAGGTTTAGCTCCTGAGGGAGCTATTGCCCCCCTCAGGAAAGTCCCGGGATAATCTGCCTTCACCAGAAGCTTCAGGGTTTGGCTGGTGTAGGCCAACAGGGCAAGTTGCTGGCCGGCAGCCGTTGTGGTTCTACGTTTGCTTCTGTGCTGGCTGCACAGCTTCTGCGCAAGGCGGGGGTGGCACCGAGAGAGACTGACCCTTGTGCTACCCCCGTTCTAGTAATCTTGGAATCACAGAACGGTTTGCGTTGGAAGGAACCTTAGGGATCATCGAGTTCCAGTCTCTTTAGGGATACCTTCCACTAGACCAGGTTGTTTGAAGTCCCATCCAACTTACTTTTATTTCTGAAGCCCTTGAGTGCTAGTTTTAGGGGTATGTGAGCTGCCTTTGAGGAATGTATTTGCTTTCAGTGCTTGTTTGCTTCTGGTGTTTTTGTTCATTTGTTTGGGGGGGGGGGGATTTGGTTCTGTGGTTTGGTTTGGATTATTTTAAATCTCCTTTTCAGTGCCCTTTCTTGTTTCCTTTTTGTAGGTTCTATTTATTTTTAGTTGTTTTTCTTATCAGCCTTATTTATTAGCTTAACACGTCAAAGATAGCTTTGCTTTTGTTAGTCTTTTAAATGTTTCTGGCTCTTTAAAAACCTTCAGGATGACCCTAAAATTATAATCGGAATTATAAATGCTTTTTTTTTCTTTTCCTTTTTTTCTTTCTTTTCAAGGTATCTCTTACTGTTATGGCTCATACAAAAGAAGCTAAAATGCAGATAATGCCAGAAACTCCAGGACGAGTCACCATCCTGAATCCTTTTGAAAGTCCTAGTGATTATTACACTCTTCAGGAGCAGATTGTTTCCAGTCCTTCAGTCTTCAAATCAACAAAACTCTCACCTGTAAGATCTAGTTTTTAGTTGTGTAGCTACAGAAATGCAGTGCTAACATTTTGAAATGCATTAAAAGGTGTATTTTATTTAGTGTATTTTAATGTATATGCTAAGCCAAAGAATTTTGGTGGCATCTGCCGTTCCTTCTGATTACAGGAATATGCTGCTTTGAATATTGACATTGTCAGTCTTCCTCCGATCTGCTAAGTGCTAAAACCAGTTGAAAGCAGATAAAGGACAGTTGTTGGATGTGGTGTTCTTGTCCTACCTAAAGCTGAAAAGTACTCCAGTTCCTACTTACATGCTAAGCAGGCTGGATGCGAGTAAAACATAATTTCACTTCTGTTATGGGTTGTTTGTATATTCACAGAATCAAGTTGATGATTTTGTGTATATATAACATTTTTTAGTTGCAAATCATATGCTTTTGGAGTTGGAATTATCATATGCAAATCATATGCTTTGCAGCTGGAATTACTTTCTGATAAGCAGGACAGCTGTGCTAATGAGTGATCTACCAAGACTTGGTAGATATTTTTTCAAACAGATATTTGAGCAGTATTTTGTAATTAAATGTTAAATAAAGGGCTGAAACTGCTTTGTTTCTGAATTTGATTTTGTTGCGTGCTATGTATGGCATTACAAGGGAGACTTTGCAAGATGCATATGGGGTTGCAAATCCTAAGTCTTATTGGAACTGCGAGGTGAAAGGTGAAAATTTGGGTTAGATGCAGGCACGGGATCTTCATGGAACCTCAGTTTTGATTGTGGCAATCCAGAAATGACTAAATTTTATCCAAAGTTCTCTATCTTTAGTACATCTATCTTAAGGAATTGAAAAGAATTTGACACTTCAGTTTGTAAAGTCTAGGTATGACCTTCTACTTTATATTATCTTGTAAATCATTGTAATACTACTACCAGGATAAAGAAGCCTGATTGACTTTTTTAATAAAGAATTTAAATGGAAACTCTTTTGATAGTCTCTGACAGAAACTGTATGGAAGTTATGTCTGCATTGTTCAAGTTTGTCCTGTGGTTCTATTTTATCTTTTGAGACTAGGAAGCACTAAAATGTTCATGTCTCTTTTTAGACACCAGGAAAATTTAGATGGTCTATTGATCAGCTTGCTGTAATAAATCCTGTGGAAATTGACTTGGAAGATGTTCAACGTCAAGCAATGTATCTGAGTCATGATAGGTAACTTCCAGTCTGTTCTTATGCAGTTACCTTGCTTGAATACTAGAACACTGTTCTTTTGCTTTATTGACATTTCAGCGCAGCAGTGAAGACTTTTTATTCAAATCTTTTAACATAGATTTTCATGTGTCCCTAATGTGGATATAATATTTAGATGAGGCTGCCTCTGTGTCACTCTTTTTAATGTTAAGAATTGCTAATCCACTCTGACTGCAGTTTGGAAGACAGCCAGATAAAAGCAGTCAACAGAAGCAAGAAAATGTCTTGCCAGTGATTGTTACGAAGCTACCTCTTCTGCTCCTTGTCACAACACAGTTTATCTTCTTGGAGTGTTCCATACTAACACCTATGAAGTGTAGGCTGCTTTGGTCTTTGGGACTCCTGCAGAAGGGTAGAGCTGATAAAGCTAGCTAGGCAAGCCAGTACTCTTTGAAAGGTATAGGTGAGACTTAAAGTGAGGGTGGTGAGGCAACAGAACAGGTTGCCCAGAGAAGCTGTGGCTGCCTCATCCCCGGCAGTGTTAAAGGCCAGGTTGAATGGGGCTTTGAGGTATAGTGAAAGGCGCCCCTGCCTGTGGCAGGGGGTTTGGAACTAGATAATCTTTAATATCCCTTCCAACCCAATCCATTCCATGATTCTGTTATAATTTTAGAAGACCAGTTATGATTTTTTTTGTCTGTTTTTTATCCAGATAAAAATACTTACTGATACAAGAAATAAATAGAAGATTTGCAAATATGTACTTAAAAATGGTACAGATCTTTCAAATGAACTGGAGTAACAGATAAATGCATTATATTTCTAGATTTATAGCATGAGGTTATTGCACATAATGGTAAAAAGATTTATTGTTTAGTGCAATTTCATTTATAATGTTTCTGTTAAGCATCTATAAAAGATGACATCGTTGGACTTGACTTTTTTTTTTCAATTATGTGATGGTTTTGATAATGGAGTTGTTTTCATTTGTCGCTTAGAATTGATAAGGAGACAGAAGACAGAAGGCAAAAAGCCATTGAAGAGGTAATAAAATTTTTATGCTATCAAGTATTTATTTGCTTTAGCTACATATCTGCAAAAGATTCACATATATTATAGGATTTCAAAAACCGGAACCCTATTATATTTTACTGATCAGTAAGAAAGTAATTTTCTGTCCTCCTCACTTGCAGATGTAGTTGAAACCCATGTGGTCTTTTTCTTCCCATCTTCTTTCACACACCTGTAGGTCAAATCAGCAAATACTGTTTCTTTTGTGTTGCTTGGCTTGTGGGAATGTAGTAGTAAGATAATTCTTAAAAATAATTAATTTCAGTTTAAAAATGATTGAGTATGTTAGGATTTACAGTAACTTCTGGTGTTAGATGGCATAATTTATCGCATTTTTTAAAATATAGCAGAACCTTGATTTTTTTTTTTTGTTTCTTCCAAAGTCTGCTTAGTTGAAGGCAAGACTTACTTCCTTTAGTGTGTAATTCTTTCTGTTTGTTTTCATTTTATTATTTACCATCAATTTGTCTAGCAGAGAAGAAAAAGTGTTTCTTCAGTCCTATTTCCATTAAGATGAAGTTTTGACAGTGTTATTGACCTTTTCGTATTGTATCATGCCATTATGAGTTTCTGTCTCTATGAAAAAAAATGGTTTATGATTCCATAAAGGTGCTAGGTAATTGACCTGCAGCAAAGATGCCCTATTGTTCTAAATCTGCATTAAAAGGGTATTTATTCTTTGTTAGGTATAAACTAATGAATTCTGCAGTTAAACAGCTTGAAACCATGACTGATAAAAATTATGCCTTTAATAGTTGGGTGTTTCAAGCTGTTTTGTTTTCATTTGTTTTGAGTCTTTTATTGTGAGAACAGGATTTACCATGTATTTTGTGAAGCTATGTTATAATGTTCATCTCCTAAACATTAGTGTGTTCTGGATTGTCACAGCAGATAGTTTCTGGTTCAAAGAAAGAGACTTAAGTGCCAGTACTCATAAATGTTTCACTGCTAACCTGCTTAGCCAAATACACTTGATAAGGTTGCCGTAAGCCTTGGTTGTCCACTTTTTTTTCCTTTCACTGTCTCTTTAGCAGTTCTGCAAAATGTCTTAATTGTCAAAATCAACAAACTGAAAAATTGAAAATAATTATGTTAAACTACTGTGCAATAAGTGTGGTAGAGACAATTCCCTTTTAAAATGAGTAATCGGTGTTAAATGAAACTTGCACAATTTTCCCTCTGAAGGCTTGAAAGATCTGGGGTGATATGTGTCGTAAGGAGCTTGGGGGCTGTCTTTAAATCACTTTTTTTTTTCTTTAACCTCTCTAGACATAAAATAATGAAATATTTGCCGGGTATAAGGGATTTAGGTTTTGGGGAAGGAAGAGTTAAAATTCTTAAAAATATAGATCTGTGGGTAGCAAAAGGTATGACTTAATTTTTTCTTGTTCAGCATACTAATCTAAATTGGAGTGCCTTCAATTTTTAAAAGTGCTAATATGGTTTGTTTCTATTCTAGTTTTTCACAAAAAGGCTCATAGTTCCTTCTCCTTGGACAGAACATGAAGGAAAGCAAGTTTCACAGTTTAATTCTGGTAAATGTAAGTTGCTTCTGTGTGTCACCCACAATTGACTTAGCTTTTGGAGAAACCATCAAGCATAGTTTTTTTTCAACTCTGATTTAAATTTTAAGAACCAGTAATAAAAGTTGGCACAACTGGTAGATTTTTAGCTGTTCTCTCCGAGTGCTTTCTTTTTTTAAAAATTATTTTTTAATTCAAAATCTTCTACAATTTCCCTTTTTGTTATTTTTGATTCCTGTTCTTGTATCTTTTTTCTTTTGTAACCTGTCTTCAAGCAGACAACTTTGCTGCATCAGTACTGGTAAAATCTTCTACTTCAGTTTTCTGGTAGCTGCACCTCTGAATTATTCTGACTGCTTTCCTGTCAGTATAAGTATATGGGAAACTGAGTTCTGTATTTTTCTACTTACTTCTCTATTTTTACTTACTTGCTATGTAAATTCCTGTTCTCTTTGTGCCCTGCTAGTTCACTGTCACTGTATGGGTGTTCTGTTTATTTTGTTTATGCCATGTTATTATTAATGCTCCTGTTATTAAAGTTTCTATATAACTAATAGAATACATAGTAAATGCATTACAAATTGGACAAATGTCGGCTATAAAATATTGTTTGCATTCACTGTTGTTTGGTAGGAGACTCTTAAGTGCGTGGGTTTTTTTGCAAAATTTGGAAGATGCTAAATTGTTAAAATTTTTTATCAAGGAAATGTAGCTTGTGGATAGTGTATTTTTAGTTGTCAGAGAACATTAGCCATGGTACTAGAGCTAGGGAAAGTGTGTGCTGAAAGAAGATGGTATAATGTGTTCTTTAGCTGTGTAAAAAAGTAGAATAGCAGATTCTTCATCTTCGTCTTCATGTTCAAATTGCATGATTTTCTGGAAATGAAATTTACTTGAACACCGCCTGTTTGGCTAAGCACAAACTTGAGTTTGTTTTAAATGTATGTAATGTAGAGGAGGCTGCAGGAGACAAAGATTTAGGCAAAGTTGATGCTACTTTACAAAGCTTTTTTTGAATAGAAAGGTGCTGAAATTCTCATAATCAGCTATAATGGTAACTTTTTTCAGTACTCCCTTTAGTTGTGTTAAATACTCTAACTTAACTGCTGGTTGGTTTCAAAACTATGTGCAATGCGTGCTTAAATTTAAGTTCTTATCTGTTTTACAGCCACAGATCTAAATAGCCTTTCTCCAATTGGAAGACAGCTAACTTTGCACCCTGACAAAAGCAATGGTGGGTAAAAGACGATGTCTGAAATTGCAAGCTTTTTCTGAAGCAAAATGACCCATTTTTTAATGGTGCTTTTATTTCAAAAGGCAGTAATTTTTTTGTTAATATTCCTGTAGAAATACTTTTGTAGCATATGGTACTACTACTTTAATACCTGTTTCTGATAGTAATTTAATTCTATTACAATCTTACATATTTTTTCCAAAGTAAAAACTGAAGTCATCTGTGGAGTACATTTTTTCCGACTCAGTGCATGCCCTTTTTCTGAATTAAAAAGTGAATCTAAGCCTCAGGTTTATGGGTAAATTACAGTTTCAAGAAGCCTGTAATGTGTTGGATTTTTTTGGGTAGAGAATCTTGATTATTTTCTCTGCAATATAAATAGCAGAAATCTTTTTTAACTGTTTCATTTTAGATAAATAATCAATGCTTTTCCCCATGGTATTTTGATGAATTTTCTTCCATTTCCTTTTGAGTCATTTTCTTCAGAGACATCTCTCTTCAGTTCAGAATGCCTTTCTAGAGACTTTTATGTTACAACCCTTTTGTTTACCTGTAGGACTGACTGTGCTGTGCATAGTTGTTGTCAAATCAGAATCCTAGCTTTAATTAACACTTTTCCTTATTGCAACTGTATCTTAAATGGCTTAATTGCAATGCAGTTTGAAAGTGGATTTTTGTTTCTACTGCTTTAGTCAAAGGTTTACTGCAAGCTAATTTTGTTGGCTTTATTCATTGCAGCTGCTTGTCAGACAGTACTGTCTTTGCCGGTGGATTTTAATTTAGAGAAAATACTAGGTATGTTGTGTTGTATCAAAATTTAATTATGAATGTTTAAATAGAAAACTTGTGTCGTTTGCTGGGGTTTTCTTGTCTTATGAAATATTGAAAATGTATGAATGGAAGTTTTAAGTCTGTGGTCTAAATAAACAAGTTACTGCATATTTTATGGGACAGCTGACTTAAATGATATACTTTGAGTATAGACATAAAGACAAAAGAGGAGGCATATGGAGAACAATTGCAAAGTAGAAGGCACCCCCTGCCTTCTGCAAAAAGAGCTTTTACTGAGAGCTGTTCAACTTCACATTGCCAGCCATGAGGCTCATAGCCCAACTTTGCCTTGAGCAAAGCAATGCTTTGATTGTGCCTTTCATTGAACTGAAGCCACAGTGGTGACTAGAAGTTGTGTGTTGGCAAAAAAGCTGTGACCACTGAATGGGGAGGCAAGAGTCCAAATTAATTGTCTGATTGTAAGTGCTTTATCAAGCAGTTGCTGTCAGCTTCTCAGGAAGGGGCTTCTATGTGAAAATAGTGGGTATAGCTAGCTCAGAGGTTTTTGGCTGCACACTCCTATCCCTGTAGTGACAGCCCTCATTGTGTGCCATCAAAATTAAAACAGAAAATCAGAGCAATATTGGTTGCTATCATATTTCATCTTAACAAATGTTTCCATCAATGCATAGTTTGCAGATTCAGGAAAAATTTATTCTACAAGGAATATCCATTTAGAATAGAGTAAAACCAAACTGATATGATAAATCATAGCATATTTTAATGGGTCTTTGTTAACATCTGCATGCTTTTTGCTTTGACTTTGAGTTGACTGGTTTGCCTTTGGATGATGTATAACGATTACCATCAAATCATATGGGAGACCTGAAAAAGGGTCTAGTTTTGCTTGAGTAGTATAATAATCTGCTTTTCACAACTGGATGTGAAATACACAGATGTGAAAAGGCCAGTAAGTAGATGTTAGCCAATATCTGTCAATTTTTTAAAATGCAGACTTTAGTATTAAAGCATGATAGGCAGAAGCGGAATCTTAGTAGATGCAGTGGACTCTCTTGTAATGATAACAAGTGATCCTTTAGGATAGGTGGCTAAATTAGACTTATTACTTTATGTACTGGTAAATTAGATTAAATGTTTAATTTAGATAGATATGTCTCTGTAATAGATTTTTTTTCTTTCATTTTTACTGGAAATGACTGCTCCCTGACATTTCTAGGTGAATATATCAGAACTGATGAATTTTCAGATCAGTCTCAGGGAAATCTGAGCTCTTCATCACTCAGAAGAAAGCTGTTTTTAGAAGAAAATGGAAGTGTGTCTGAGTGTTTGTCTGTTTCTCCACATAGTCCATGTGGTAATCAGCCACTTGGAGTGCTTTGTTCAATAGACATCTCTCCAGTTCGGTGCAGAAGCCCTCTGGAAACACCTAGTTCAGTAAGTAGCCTGGTTTGGATGCTGGATGGGATGTGACTGACTTGGCACAGGAGCAGATCTTGGAGCAGGCCAATTTTGTGTTCTAACAGGCTTCACAAGGGGAACAGTCTTTTTAAGAAGCTACAACTGCTTTATTAGAGCATAGGTGTTAGGCCAAACTATGCTTTTGTGGCTTGGATTTTGGTGGTGTGGTTTTTGTGAGTTGTTTTTTTGTTGTTCCCCTCCAAATTCCAAAGTCAGAAAAAACGTGAAAAATAAAAGTTTCGAAGTAATGTCACTGATTTCTTATATCAAACTGTTATGCTGTGATGCTGTTATCTTGTACAGAAGGAATTATGCTTTAATTTCACAAAAGTAGGAATCAATACATATACAAGATTTGCTGAAGGCATGTTGTAACATTATATATATATATATATAAATCCATGAACTGCTGTCTAAAATACTAGCTGATATGAACAGGTGATGTAATTATTTCCCTTATAACTCCTAAATTCATTTATAGTGAAGGAAATTACTTGTGGATCTTTGAATGCAGTGCCAAATATGCTTTTTTCTTTTCCACGAGCCAGAGATTTCAGATAAAAGAGATATTTATTAGAACACAGAATATAATGTCTGTTTTTTAAGTTAAGCCAGATGAATCTTATTCCCAGGTAGATGTATCACAGCTAATCTGGTTTAGGTGGTACAGTTTCTTCTGTTGGGCACTTGAAGTACATGGAAAAAAACACTACCTAAGCTAGAGTGTAGCTTAAAAAAAGTCTTCATTGTGGTAACCTAATAAAGAATTCTTACAGTGTTCCTACAGGACTGCTAAAGTGACTTCTTGCATTGTACTCTTAAGCAAGATCACAACCACTGTTCTTTTTTCTTAAGTATTGTCTGTGCTGCTGCATTGAATTTGGATAACACTGATTCCATTAGAATATATATAGTGGTTGACCTTTATCTGCATTGGTATGAGTAAGAAATTGAGATTAAATACTTAACTGTATACACAGATAGTATTAACACTCTGTTAAGGCTTTTCATAGTTCTTAATTACAATGGATATTACAGTCTAACTTGGTATTATGTGTCAGTTTAAATCCATTGCTCTTTTCTTATTGTGGAGGCATAAAGTTCAAGTGAAGAGCTACAACTGGAATATTCAAGATAAACCAATGATAGAAATTGTCATTGTACAGGATTAGTTTTCCTCAGGGCTGCCATATTATGTTTTTTAGTTAGTTTTTCTATTTACATATTAGTCAAAATTTACATCATGAAAATATGCCTTTTTTTTTTTTTTTTCTTCGCTCTGAAACTGAAGGGTCAGATTTCATCAAGTCCTATTCAGGGAGGAGCAAGTGTTTACAGTCTGGGAAGTATAACCAGTCCCACATTTCCACAGGGGTCTCCTGCCCCTAATGGTTCTCCTGCTTTTTCACCAATTGCTTTTCACATAAGAAAGACACCACTGTCAGGTATGGTTTAACTGTGTATGTATTATTCTTTCTTTCTTGATGTGCGTATTTTTATTATTAGAAACAGCTTTTTACAGTTTATTCTTGAAGAAGGCATTGATACCAAATAGGAATGAAAAAAAAAACCCAACCTTAAAGGATTAATCTGAGGAGGGGGGTTAAAGTTGTATGCCTGAACTAAGTAAGGTCATAATCTGATTTGGCTCAACCTGATTTATATGGACACAGAATGTTTGAGTTTTCAAATCGTGTGACTGTGAAGATTACTTGAAAGGGAACTGACTAGTGAAGAAATCACAAACAATTCTGTGTCCTCATTGCTCTAGAAGATGTCAGTTATTTCCTGTTCTGTACATTACCTGGCAAGTCTTAATGCCATGGTTATACGTGATTTTACTCTGGTGAGCGTTGTGGTATTTCAACAGCATTCCATATCGAGATTGTATAGGTGTTTTCTCCCTTGTTTGATTTTCTTGAAAACTTTATTGTTTCCCCATTGTTTTTTTTTTTGGGGGGGGGTTGTTTTTTTTTCTTAAATGCGTATAGAACATGTGCATTGATATTTGTTCCGAAAAGAAGCCACAGAACCAGCCTTCACACATTTTCCGTTGTATAGTATTGACATTCAAAAATGTGAGGCCACACCAGTACAGCTAAATATGTAATGAGAAACAAAACTGGGTGGTAAAAGTGAGGTAAAAACTTGCCTTTACTGTGATAGTTTAAATCTGCTGGTGTGTTTTTGTTTTGGGGTTTTTGTTGAGTTGGTTGTTTTGGGGGATTTTTTTGTTGCTTGATTATTTTTTAGTTTTTCAAAGGCAGCCTTGGAGCTGGGGTACAGGGGTCAGTGAAATGCTGTGTGGTTAGCTGTATAATTAAAAAAACCCTAGGGCTTTGAGGATGATGACTTTATCTCCACCTGGTATCTCACAGCATAATTTTTTTTTTTTTTTTTTTTACAGACCAAAGAAAATTCACATTTTGTTCTCCAGATATTCCTTCTTCTTCAAATAAAATGACATCCCCAGCTACAAGAAGTCCTTATATAGATGGTTGTTCTCCAATTCAAAAGTCTTCACCTATGAGACTTGGAGCATGCAGAAGAACTACCCAGTTTCAGACTTCTGTCATTAGGATACCAATTGCTGTTGAGAACCACGGTGAGAATGAGGAAGACAAGGAGAATGCTTCTCCATCAGAAGCTTGGTTCCCAGAAATCGATAATGGAATAACCTTATGCCAGCAAGATGGGGATACTTTTACACATGGCACACATCTTGTGGTAGCAACTGTGTCTATTGCACCAGATCACTCAGAAGCTTGTCATCAAAGGCTGTCATCATTTCAGGATATGGAAGGCTCCAAGGAAAATAATACTGTAGATATGGCTGACATAGCTGAAGTGTCAGAGGAAAACATTTGGATAAAAGAAACAATTGGCAATAGCAATGCACCAATGACCAGCTTTATGACAGGGATTACTTTCAGTATTGAAAACTCTCATGTGTTCATGTCGCCTCTTGCAGAAAGTAGCACAATTCCTTGTGACAACAGTAGTATTCAGGTAAAAATAAGAATCTTTAAAACTGAGCTCAACATAATCACTTCTAATATGTATGCTATTCTGGAAGTAATTGTCTTATTTTCTCTTAGTGGATGCTGCGTACAGGTGGCATTGTGACTTTTATCCTTCCTCCCCATTCCCTTTTTGCAGTGGAGTCAGCATAGCAGTTTTTGTGTTACAATGCACAGGAATACATTTAATCCAAAGTAATTCTGATCTATTTCAAGATGTCCTTGCTTATTGCAGAGGGTTGGACTAGATGACCTTTGAAGGTCCCTTCCAACCCAAACTCTTCTATGATTCTGTAATTCTGACAGTTTATGGTTTGCTTTTGTTATTACCTGATGGCAGTTGGTTTGTGGGACTAAGTTCTGTTACCTGGGAGGACTTGTATTTGATTAACTGAGGGGTTTATTGGTGTTAAATTGCAGTACCTTTTTAAACCCTGCTTCTTGGTTTCAGGTGGACAGTGGGTATAATACACAGACTTGTGGAAGCAGCATTATGGATACTGCGGGGGCCCAAAACAGTTGCAGAGAAAATGATGTGAACATTAACGTGTTTCAGACTAAATCTCAGCTGCTTAGAACAAAGGTAGGAGTTAAATTGTGATACGATACAAAAGTGACAGGCTTCTCACCTGAAGCATCTGTTCCTTATTTTACTCTATTTCAGAAAGCCTGAGGGGAGAGACTGTAAGGTGATTATAGAGACTGTGTTAAATGCAGCATCATTTCAAGTATTATGCTGAAAACAAGGAGTTAAGTGCAGGACAAACTAGCAGTAAAATTAATGTATTCTATGACAAAGGCAGACAGTTTCAGAGGAAACTGAGATATACGCATGAGAGGTAGTTGTGAGGCTGCTCATGGCTTCTGAAGTATGGTAGTCTGTCTCTTGTTTCTGTTGTTCCTGCTGCTTTTTTTATTAGAAAATTTTTAGATGTGTGCCTGTGGAGAAGTGCATTTTGGGGAGAAATTTGTCTGCTACTTGTTTTCATAAACTAGCCTTGAGTTTTCTACCCCATACCTGACAATGCTGACTTGGTGGGGAACTTTCTGCTTGGATACAGTATTATGATTACAAGCCCTTGACCTGTCTTAAAACTAAATAAATTACAAAAGACAGCACATACCTAGCAAGGGCCCCAAGCTCTTGTGACTGATGGGAAAGTCTTGCTTCTAGAGAGTGGGAAGCAAGGCTAGTTTCTTTGAAGGAGAGAGCAAAGATCATCTTACTTAGCAGTTGTGGTCTTATAAACTTAGTAGCTTATGGTCTACTACTTACCATCATTTACAGTCCTTGAAGGAGCGAGAGTACTGACTAGTAGTAACAGATTATGAAAAGCCTCAAGTAAGCCTATTTAGCCCTGACTTCACTTCTGTATCTGACATGCTAATAGCCAATAATCTGATGAGGTAAAGAGCAGATTGATGGTGCCTGGTAGACCATGGACATCATGTCCTTTTGCCCAGAGAAGTTCTGTCTGCCCCATCCCTGGAAGTGTTCATGGCTGCATTGGATGGAGATTTGAGCAACCTGGTCTAGTGGAAGGTGTCCCTGCCTGTGGCAGGGGTTTGGAACTCAATGACCTTACTTTAAGGTCCCTTCCAACCCAAACTATTATATGATTCTATGAAATTTTGAACTCTAATCATTTAAGACAAGAATAAATGTGCCGTTACAGGAAGAAAAGATATTTTATCTTAAACTTCTAGAAGTACCCATCTACTCTGAGGTCATGCCCCAATCACCCTTTGGACTTGAAGGTACTCACAAGAATCAGTTGCCTACTCTCAAACTTGTCCTAGAGACAGTTCATGCAGCTGTCTTCTCCTGCTGCTAGTCCTTCAGTTGCTAGATCCTGACTAAGCCAAACTTTGCATTTTTGGAATAGGATTTAAGTGCAGTGGCATTCAGTACTTCCTTCAACTCTCACAACAGGGAACCCACAGAGAATATAAAAAACAAACCAAAAAAACAAACCAAAAAAGCATGGGCGCTGCTGGCTGAAAGAATCCAGTCTGGCTCATTCAGAGCATGTGCAATCTGAGAGGAGATGATTCTTGCTGAGGGCAAAGATTTCTGCAGAGAAAACATCTTTCATTTCTCTTTCATTTCAGAAGGGGAGAGACGGGAAGTTAAGGTATTAATTATAATTAGAAAATTTCCAATAGGAAGTTTGGATCTTCTTTCTTTGGGGGAATTTTTGTGAAAATGGGTTTAAAATGAACTTTTCCTTATTAACCTAGGAGGTTTCTGTTTCAAACCATAAGGACAGTCAGTTGCTGAGAGCAAGATCTCCAGAGAAGCAATGCTGTTTCCAAAAAGCAAAACCACATTGTACAGTATTCGGTCAAAATGCAACTTGCAACATTTCTGCCTGGAAACATCAAAATGAAAACCAAGTTCAGGGATTTTGCAGAAACGATATGTAGTTCTGTGATGGAGAAGATTAAATTGTGATGTCTAATAAATTTTTATGTATATCACGTCAGTTACCTGGATTACGCATACTATTTGGGTTTTTTAATGCAAGTGTAATAAATTGTCTGGTATGTATTAAGTGGGGGGTTAAATAATGTGGGATTCTTCAGGTTTTATTAACAAATGTACTGGTATTATTAAGCAACCCTTTTGAAAATTAAGGCAGCTAGACTTGGTATAAAGAAACCACATTAGGTTTGTTTTTTGGAAATGTGTTCTTTCAGTGATTAGGATAGATTCCATGAGGAGCCTTGTTTGAAAGGTTGGACCTAACTTGAGCTTGAAAAGGAGTACTTCAGATAGGCTGGGCAAACCTGGAGTAACTTGCATAGGAGCCAGCGTAACTGTAAAACCACCTACATTGTAAGATACAACTTAAAAAGGCATGAGGGAAATTTTTCTTTGGGGAAGAGAAAAGGGAGTGTTTAGTTTTCATTTGATTTTTTTTTTTTTTTTTTTTTTTTCCCTGATCAGATGTATTGTGTGGCTTCAGGAATGCTAGCAGTGGTGCCAAGAAAGAGTTGCTGGATAGGAGTGAACTGCTGGGGGTGTGAGGAGAGCAGGGCTGGGTGCGTGTCTGTGTCAGTCTAAAGGAAAAGTGATGGAACTCGGCTCCGACTTCATGAGGAAGGAATAAAATTAGTGGCCCAGAAACAGGTCCCTGGAATACATGTATGTTTTTATACTGAACTGCAAACTGTTAAAAACAGGGCCTTCAATTTTAATACCAGGCTAGTTCTTAGTTAGATTTTCCTTGTGAACATGAAAACTCCATTCTAGTTATGGAAGTTATGTACTTTCCACAACTGAAAAAAAAACCAACCCCCAAATCTAGTTTTATTAATAATAAGGTTTATGCCCAAAGAATCTTGAAGTGGATCACCTGACTCCACCAGTGTTTCCTAAAAGCACTTTGTCCAAACTGAAGCTCCAGTACCCTTTTGAGGGAACGTAAGAAGGTGCAAGGAGATAATTGGTCTCAGTACATCGAGTGGTGCAGCCTTCCTAGTAGTAAACTGTTACACTTCCCTTTTATGTTTAATTCCCAGTACTGCTTACTATACTGTAAGCAACTGTTAGGTTGCTTACAGAAATTGCCAAAATATTTAATAGATAAACATTTAGAGATATAATTAACTTTTGTATGGCACTTACTGCAAAAAGTATTAATATAAACAAAGTCTTGATACTGTCAAGAAAACCACTGATGAACAGAAGTACTGGAATGAGGAGGGTCTGGAAGCCCAGAACTCACTTTGCCTAATCAAATCAGATGTGATTAAATTTGATTTGTTTAAAAGAACCTTCTGGAAGTTCTTAAATATGAATGTGGAGGCGGGTAGGGGATCAATATGGTAATGTTGTAGCCATAGTGACTATGAAGAGGAGATAAGGGAAATTCTGCCATCTCCAGGCTGTTTGTACACCTCTGGAGTGAACTTTATTGCATTAATCAAAGACACCAGTCTACGCCAGTAGGTGCTCCCTGGGTGAAGGAGCCTTCGCTCTGTCTGTAGCAAGGACACCCAGTCCCAGGGTTCTGGGTGGAAGTTTGGGTTCCTGTTCTATTCTGCAGGTCACAGAAAAGCTTGTATCAAAGCCCAGAACAGTTCATAGGTCAGATTCATCCCCTAAATTTGAAGGTGATGGGTGATGTTTTCTGAAGTCTGAAAAGGGGAGGTGCAAGCAGAATTGGGATAGCATTAAAACCAAATGCCTCAGGCCTGAGACTTGTGCACTTGAGTGGTGTATGGATAGAACAGTTCTTGAAATGGTTTAAGAATTAACCAGGGAAGGCTTTTTGAAAAACATTCTAAATGGGAAACTCCTGTGCCATCAACAAAGTTGCTTGGGTTTAGTTCTCACATTGCTAAAGTTGTAATTAAGAAAATCACTTTAGATTCCTAACCAGCAAATATGGACATGCAGTGGGCTTACTTCCATAGCAATTTAATCAGTATTTCAGTAATGCAGATGGAATTCACAGTAACTGAATGTAACATCCTGCAGGGTCTGTTTCACCACCTTGAAGCAGTGCCCTACTACAAGGTGGAAATGCACTGAACTGGTAACTTTTTAAGGGGACGAATTTGTTGAAGTAGAGAATGAACTTGGACTTCTGAATATATCGAACAGGGCCTTCAAAATGCCCTTAGCCTTAGGTTGTGAGGTTGTCGCTCCAAAGCAAGGCACAACTTGTCTGAGGTTTAAAAGTTAGTTATGACCTTGCACCTTGTTAACAGTAATCGACTAAAAGGGTGAATTTCAGATCTGCAGACTGTACAAAGGATTTATTTTTGCAAGTGTGATTACTAAAGTTAGGAATAATGTTAATGTAAATAGGAAGATGAAAAGCAGGGTGGTCCAAATGATGATCTGTTTCTGAACTGTTCCCTGTAACACCTATACTTAAGATTAGGTTTTATTTTTTAAAAATTTTTGATTCTTGATATGCTCAATGATCAGAGGCTTTCAGAGTATTTGCAGATAATAAAAGCAATCGCTAAGCTACTTAACTGTACCCTGCTGAAGTGTTTTCTTAAAGGAAATGTAACAGCAGAAACGAGTGAAAGTAAGAAGTAATTAAGGATCCCCCCAAATAAGTTGCCTGTATTTTCTGTCCTGTTTTATAGTCTTCAATTGGATGGGAATTATTTATTTTATGAAAGTGTGCATGTGTTTTCATGATGTCAGTGTAACTGCTTTGTATTAAGAAACCTGCTGTGCAAATTACCATGGAAATCATTTGACCATTCTGTTTCTCTGGTTGTACTTCACATGTTGGTTGGTACATGTTGCACAAAAAGGTCATTGTTTACATTAAATTAATTACAGTAGTTTTAAGGAGAGTCCTTTAACATAAATGTATTAACTATACATTGAATAGTGAAACAATAAAGACATCTCTTTCATACCTAGCTGGTATTTATTTCTTTGCTACATTTTGCAGCATCTTTCCTTTAATGATGCCAGTAACACCCATCTGTGTGCACTGTTTGGGTGGGGGGTGTTGGAGCAGAAGTAGGAGGTCAGGGAAGGAGCTCAGTGAACTGCTCTCATGTACACAGGTAAAAACTGGTTTCAGTTATTGTAGCACATGGTATCAGAGAGCCTGTGCTCTGCACATCTGTCTTGAAACCGAGTTTTGTTTTCCAAGTGTCTGAAGCTTTCTAGAGTAGTGCTGATAGGAGTGTAGAGTTAGACTAGTACTGGGAAGCAGTGCTTTAGTGCTGGGTTTGGCGAGACAATGGAACTGAGTTGCGAACGCACCCCTGGCAGTATTCGAGGCCAGGTTGGATGGGACTTTGAGCAACCTGGTCCAGTAGAAGGTGTCTCTGTCCATGGGAATTGGATTAGGATTCAAACATCTCATTGGGGGGACAGTGTTGTGGTTTCTGTTTGAGTCAGCTGTCTCCTTTTGGTGCCTTCTGTAAATACACACTTCATAAACCTGATTCAGCCCTTTAACAATGACAGCACTCGGGAAGCTGAGTAACTACGGCTAGGTGACAACCACATATTGATCAACTGTGACCTGATCCTTACCAAGGAAAGTACCAAGTGACTAGTATAGAAGTTTGTGAGCTGTAACTCTCTGAAGATGGCTGAGGAACACCTGCAGTATGTGGGACTGCAGTCTCTTGCCTTTGAGAGCTTGGAGCTGGCAGCAGCAGAACCAGTCAATGAAAACTACTCTTGTCCCAGGTGCTTTGGAGGACAGTTTCATTGAAACAAACATGCAGAACTCAGTAACAACTACCTTGGGGTCCCTGTGGTGGAAGTTCAGCACTGCGCTCAGGAGCACACACACTCAACCTACATCAGTCCTCACACCATGTAAAACATGCTTTATGACTACATAGGCAGGAGATGTGGCTTGCCTGTAACCACATAGTTCAAGGTACAAAATGAGAATTATAACTAACAATTGTTAACTTGCCAGTATGGGGCTATGTATGGCCTTTATTATTCAAGAGTAAGTTCTGTTAGCAGATTGAAAAAACTGACTTTAGTCAGGCTCTTGCATGGCCTTAAGGCTGTTATAAAATACAACTATTCCTTCACTTCACAGAAGCATTTATTTTCACCCACAAGACAAAACTATAGCCATACATTAAAACATAGATGGTTTTAAAACTACTGCTGCATACATATTCATTAAAAAGTTATTTTTTAAAAAAGCCAGTTTTACAAATCATTAAAAGGTGTATTTAAAAGTAAACATAATCTGTTTCTAGCATTTTGTCCATAGGGAAAAAAATATGTAAATACAAAGAATTCATGTGTGACTTCCTATTAACTTCAGTATCGAGCTATTTTTGTAGCTTCCTTTTCTTCTTCTCTGGTTCATTGTTGCTGCTTGTCTCTGCAGATAGATTTGCAGGCACATCATTTCCTTGTATCTACAGTAAGAAGAGCAGTGGAAGTCAGAACACTTTTAACTTGTACCTTCATGATGAAACTGGAGTTCACTTATACAGACCTTTTACAATCACTGTATCAACATCAGAAAACTCTGCTGTTAATCCCCTAAAGGAGGCTGTACCATCATATAACACTTGCAGCAGGAAAAGCTGAGAAGAGCTCACGCAAAGGGCAGCAGTGCCACCTCTGCTGCCCATAGTGGCAGGGGGATGAGTGAGAGGTGAGAAGGGACCTTAACCTCACAATTTCCATTTTGCTTTTAAAAGTCACGATTGCAGCGTTTCCTGCAGTGCTGTTCCTGTCAGGCTCAGGACAGAATTACTTGTATTTGAAGAAGTCACCAGGAAGCACACTGTGGTGTCTTTGAGAGTATGGACACATGTGGTACTGTGGTATTTAAGCCCAGCCAGTAACCCAGAACCACACAGCTGCTCACTCACTCCCCACCTTCCTCCCACTGCTCCCAGAGGGATGGGGAGCAGAATCCAAAGAATGTAACTCCCATGAGCTAAGAACAGTCCAGTAACTAAGGTATAACACAAACCACTACTGCTACCACCAATAATAATATGGGAAAT